ATGAGTTTCACTCTCAAGTTCCCTCTAGGAGCAGAAGTGCATGTTTACTTGGGCTCCTAGCCTCTCCCTCAGCTCCCTCTTTTCCCACTAATCTCCAGATGCTACTGATGGCTCCCGTTAACTGGTGGCAAATTGCTTGTGAGCAAGGTCTGTGCCTTGGTTTACAGGTGTACAACCACACAACTCTTAGCACAGTACTTAGATTCATCAAATATCTGTGTAATAAAAGGTGTGGCTATGAAAAATCATTTTACAGCTGGACGTGGTGGCTCACGCTTGTACTTTAGGAGAATGAGGTGGTGGATCACCTGAGGTCAGGAGTTCGAGACCAGCCTGGCCAACATGACAAAACCCCGTCTCCTACTAAAAACACAAAAATTAGCCAGGTGTGGTGGCACATACCTGTAGTTCCAGCTACTCGGGAGGCTGAGGCAGGAGAATTGCTTAAACCTGGGAGGCAGCGGTTGCAGTGAGACAAGATTGTGTCACTGCACTCCAGCCTGGACAATAGTACGAGACTGTCTCAAGAAAAAAAAAGAAAGAATGATTGTTTTAGGGCTGGGCACAGTGGCTCATGCTTGTAATCCCAGCACTTTGGGAGGCCCAGGTGGGCGATCACAAGGTCAGGAGTTCAAGACAAGCCTGGCCAACATAGTGAAACTCCGTATCTACTAAAAATATAAAAATTAGCTAGACACAGTGGCAAGCGCCTGTAGTCTCAGCTACTTGGGAGGCTGAGGCAGGAGAATCCCTTGAACCTGGGAGGCAAAGGCTGCAGTGAGCCGAGATTGCAGATGAGTTGTTCATTCCTGTAATCCCAGCACTTTGGGAGGCTGAAGGTGGAGGAAAGCTTGAGCCCAGGAATTCAAGACCAGCTCAGGCAATATGGCTCGATCCCATCTCTAAAAAAAATTTTTAAAAAGGCATGGTGACATGCAGCTGTGTTGGAAACCCTGAGAAAGCTTCTGAAACCATGAAAAATCTGAAACCCCGAAAAACTGAAACCCTGAGAAAGGTTCTGAGGGACAATTTGTCTCTTAATTCTCAATGATATGAAGAATGAAAGATAGTGAGAAGGTAATTCGTGTTAACTTGTATTTCTGACAGTTCTACAATGATTTTAAAACCAAATTTCACCTAATTACTGTATGCACTTAATTTAAAAAATCAAATTGATGAGGCTTCTATCAAAAAATGTCAGTCCCTGGCCCACTTCCCCCATCTATCTAGAGTTAACTCTTCCCACTTTGTCAGCTCTTGATTCTGCTGTTTACTAAATCATATCCACACTGTATGACCTTGAATCAGCTTTTCAGACACTATCCACTGACTTCCAACTGTGGTGGATGAAGATTTCACTCTCCAACATCATGTCAAGGCTGGTGTTCAGAGTCACACTGTTACAACCATATGGATTGTACTGGTTGGCACAGAAGCCTCCTCACTATCCCTGCCATTCTGGCTGCTCCAGCTTCATGTCCTGGGACACCCTACACTGCCCCAGGACCCAGTAGCTCTAAGGGCCTCCACCCTCTACCCTGGGGATTTAACCAATGTCCCTCTGGCTGTTCAGTGCCCCTGTTGTACTAATTGCTAATTCTCATCCTTTAGCCTCCCAGTATAACTGTTCCCCCCATCTTTTTTTTTTTCTTTTTACTGAATTCAGATTCAGGGTTATTAATATGACTATATAAATATTGTCCACTGGAGAACTAATTAGTAATCATTATTATATTTATTTTCTTGTACAGCTTTCTGCCTTTACTGTAGTGAATAGTTGCCTGATTTTTTTGTTTCTTTGAACATTTTAATCTCATTACAAAGTATCTCCTTTATACAATTTTCCACATAGCTAACATTATCGCTTGTGTTGTTTTATTTTTTTCTGAAAATATCTCTTTTGAGTCCTACAGTTTTATTCCAACTTGGTCTGCCTAGACTATCCACCAAATCTGCTGATTAGTTAGTATCCTGTGGACTTTGCGTTTTGGGAGCCTCAGTCTTTGTGAGAGGTTTCTTTCGCTTGGCGTGTTTTAAGGGTCATCTACACTGTGGCATTTACCAGTACCTCATTTCTTCTTATTGCCAAATAATATTCCATTGAGTGGATAGTCCACATTTTATTTATCCATCCATCAGTTGCTGAACGTTCAAGTTGCTGCTACAAACATTTGTGTGTACGTTATTGTGTGGGAATGTTTTCACTTCTCCTAGGTTTAGAACGTGGAGTAAAATTGCTGGGCAGGAGGGTAACTGCATTATCTGTTTGATAATTTTGACTCTGCTGCTTTTTCTGCATGCTCTCTCTGGAATGGGTACCAATTAGACATTGGACTTCATGAATTTATTCTCTTTATTCTTACCTTTCTAATTCGCCATCTCTTAATCTTTATGTTTTATTTTTGGGAAACTTTTGCTTCCATGTTATCTGTTTTCTTGGCGGTCCTTTTTTCTCTTTGGTTTTTGTTGTAATTCACTCAGTTCACTGCTATGCATCAAGGGCCCACCACATGCCCGCAATGACTATGCATCAAGGGCCCACCACATGCCAGCAATGATTCAAGGTGGGCAGAACGAAGACTCCTGCCATTAAAGGACTTACAGTTTTCTGGTCTGTCTTTGATGCTGGAGACTCTCCTCAAATATTCGGTTAAACAGTTTTGTGCATTTTTTAAAATAAAACTTACAGAAAATAAAGTGCAGAAATTTTAAGTATATAGTTCAACAAAATTTTACATATGTATACAGCCACACGAGCACCACTCAGATTAAGATACAGAACGTTTCGCTTACCCAAAAATGTCTCCCCTGCCATTCCTAGTTAATATCCCCCCTCTCCCCAGAGGGAACCACTATGGATTAGTTTTGTCCATTCTGTGATTCCATACACAGTATGTATTCCCTTGTGCCTGGTTTCACTTTTATTCAATATAATATCTTTGATATTTATCCACATTTTTCTATCAGTAATTTGTTCTTTATTCCTGTAGTATTTCATTATATGTATATGCCACAATTTATTTTTCATTCTACTTTTTTTTTGGGACAGAGTCGAAGCAAACAAAGTTTGATTTTATTAACTTTGTTCTCTCTGTAGGCTTGTGTTAGGGACTCAGTGTTTGTGTCCCCCCAAAATTCATATGGTGAAGCCTTAAATCCCACGTGGCTGTAGCTGTATTTGGAGATGGGGCCTCTAAGGAAATAATTAAGGTTAAATGAGGCCATAAGGATGGGGCCCTGATCTGATAGAATTAGTGTCCTTATAAGAAGAGACATCAGAGAGCTTGCACTCTCTCCACACGCTCGCACCGAGGAAAGGCCACGTAAGGACATAGTAAGAAGGTAGTCACCTACAAGCCAGGAAGACAGCCCTCACCAGACACTGCATTTGCCAGCACCTTCTCATGGACTTCTAGCCTCCAGACCTGTGAGAAGTACATATCTGTTGTTTAAGCCACCCAGCCAGTGGTATTCTGTTATAGCAGCCTAAATAAACTAATGTAGGTTTTGATACCAGTTTTCAGAAACCAACTTTGACAGTCTTCTCTCTCCTTTGAGATTAGATTTAACCTTCTTGTGTTTTTACTACATTACTATTATTTTTCTTGAGGCAGAGTTTTGCTCTTGTCACCCAGGCTGGAGTGCAATGGCACAATCTCAGCTCACTGCAACTTCTGCATCCCAGGTTCAAGTGATTTTCCTGCCTCAGTCTCCCAAGAAGCTGGGATTACAGGCGTCCATGAACATGTCTGGCGAATTTTTGTATTGTTAATACAGACAGGGCTTTGCTATACTGGCCAGGCTGGTCTCGAACTCTTGACCTCAGGTGATCCACCCACCTTGGCCTCCCAAAATGCTGGAATTACAGGCATGATTATTATTATTTTGAGACAGGGTCTCACTCTGTCACCCAGGTTGGAGTGCAGTGGTGGCATCTTGGTTCACTGCAACTTCAGCCTCCGGGGCTCAAGTGATCCATTTCAGCCTACTGGGTGGCTGGGACTACAGGTGTGTGCCACCACACCTTGCTAATTTTTGTATTTTTTGTAGAAATGGAGTTTCACCATGTTGGCCAGGCTGGTCTCAATTTCCTGGGCTCGAGTAACATCGAGCCCATCTCAGCCTCCCAAAATGCTGGAATTACAGTCAGGAGCCACCGTGCCTGGCTATTTCTTTTCTGAAAGAGAATTTTAAGACCCTATTCAATCCAGATTTCTTTTTACTATAGATCAAGATTTGATTTTCCATTTTTTCCTTCAACCTTTCCAAGATTCCCTAAAACTACACTTTCTTACTTTTAATCCTCTTAGCTTACTAGTTCTTGGCCTGTGCAGAAATGTAACTTCTCCTCTTACAGAGCATACTTCTTCGATACTATTACTGCTATTGGTCATGCATTTCTTGGTTAATAATGCTAATATGTACTGTCTTTCCCAGTGGTGTTTCTATTTTAAATGCTGCTATAACTGTGGAGTAAAACTTTGGGCTCTCAAGAGGATTTCAAGTCTCAGCTGTCTGTCTGGGGACTTAAAAATATAACAATTTTTTTAAATTATAAAAATTTCCAGCACAAAGTAGAATATATTCATTAAACAGATTCACATTAACAAGATTTTGGTCACATTTCCTTAATCTATTCCTTTTCTTTTTTTTCTGTTGAATATTTCAGAGCAAGTCTAAGACATTATGTCATTTAACTCTATGTACTGCTCTTAAAGGGGGGGGCATGTTCTTATATAATCAAAATATATAATTAGCTTATATAATCTAATAGAATTGACAGTAATCCTTTTGTTTGGGGAACTCTGAAGTGAAATCATATGGAATTTTAATACTATAAAAAAGTTAGCATTGTAAGAATAGCAACATATTAGGCAGCCTCAAAACAGTTTTAAACTGAAGTCTAGTATGTTCAGAAATGCAGGGTGCTGATCCAACATCCACCTGAAGCTTAGCTCAGGAATGCCTAAGACAACTTATAAACATACACAGTTGGCAGTGCGCGTGGCCACGGCGGCTGGTGTGGGGTTGAGTCAGTTGTGAGACCCGGAGCTGCTGACCCAGCGGGTGGCCCACCGTACCCGCGACACGGCGGCAGGCGGCAGGGCTCGGAAGCGGCGAGCCTGGCCCCGTCCTAGAGCTTGGCCGAGCGGGCACCACCGTCGTTCCCCGCCCCCAGCCAGCAGACTGTCGCCGAGGGCGCGCCCTCGCTCTGCTCCGATGGCGTCCGCCTCCGCGAAGCACTAGCAGATCTCGGTCCTCGACCCGCCCACTGACCTCAAATTCAAAGGCCCCTTCACAGATGTAGTCACTACAAATCTTAAATTGCGAAATCCATAGGATAGAAAAGTGTGTTTCAAAGTGAAGACTACAGCACTACGCCGGTACTGTGAGACCCAACAGTGGAATTATTGACCCAGGGTCAATAGCCCTTTGACTATGATCCAAATGAAAAAAGTAAACCCAAGTTTATGGTACAGACCATTTTTGCTCCACCAAACACTTCAGATATGGAAGCTGTGTGGAAAGAGGCAAAACCTGATGAATTAATGGATTCCAAATTGAGATGTGTATTTGAAATGCCGAATGAAAATGATAAATTGAATGACATGAAACCTAGCAAAGCTGTTCCACTGAATGCGTCTAAATAAGATGGACCTATGCCAAAACCACAGTGTTTCACTTAATGATGCTGAAACAAGGAAACTAATGGAAGAGTGTAAAAGACTTCAGGGAGAAATGATGAAGCTAGCAGAAGAAAATCGACACCTGAGAGATGAAGGTTTAAGGCTCGGAAAGGTAGCACATTCGGATAAACCTGGATCAACCTCAACATCCTTCAGAGATAATGTCACCAGTCCTCTTCCATCACTTCTTGTTGTAATTGCAGCCATTTTCATTGGATTCTTTCTAGGGAAATTCATCTTGTAGAGTGAAGCATGCAGAGTGCTATTTCTTTTTTTTTTTTTTTTTCTCTTGACCAGAAAAAGATTTGTTTACTTACCATTTCATTGGTAGTATGGCCCGCGGTGACCATTTTTTTGTGTACAGCATCATATAGGCTTTGCCGTTAATGATCTCTTACGGTTAGAAAACACAATAAAAACGAACTGTTGGGCTACTGGACAAATTGTATATTACCAGATCATCACTAGCAGATGTCACTTGCACATTCAGTCCTTTATGAAATTCATAAAGAATTGTTCTTTCTTTGTGGTTTTAATGAGTTCAAGAATTGTTCAGTCTTGTAAATGTTATTTTAATAATACCTTTAAATTTTATCTGTTGCTGTTACCTCTTGAAATATGATTTATTTAGATTGCTAATCCCACTCATTCAGGAAATGCCAAGAGGTATTCCGTGGGGAAACGGTGCCTCTTACAGTGTAAATTTTTTCCTCCTTTACCTTTGCTAATATCACGGCAGAATTTTTCTTACCCCTTGTGAGGCAGTTGTTGACTGAGTTTTTCATCCTTACAATCCTGTTCCATGGTATTTAACATAAAAAATAATAAAACTGTTAACAGATTCTTGCTTGATAGCTTGTTTGTGTCTGTCGTGTGATTAGAGGGGAGTCCACTACATATGGTCACTTGAAATTATGATGCAAAGGTTTCTCTCGCATTGAAACCCTCTCAGATATTACAGCATTTTTAATTGAATGCCCTAATTCTGTTAAGGAAAGGAGTTGATTACATTTCAAGGTACTACTAGTATTTTGGGAGATTACAGTTAATTTGTTCTCAAGATAATAGAAAATAAGGTCCATGAGAATAGAAGTTACATGATTTCAGTGAGCTGATGTGTTCAGCATGGCTGTGCTCCATCTGATTTGCCCCATTCATAACAAGTTCTGAGAGTATGTTCTCAAGGAAGATTTAACTCTCCTCAGTTTTAAAATACGTTTTAACCAGTCTAATTAAAAAAATAAAGTCTTATTTGCAACACTTCATAATAACAATTAAAAGGTGTTTTTTCCCACCCAGTTTGGCACTCAAAATAAGGTTCATTATGGAAGTTTGGTAATAATGAGCAAGCCTATGGAATATTCTTTATGAAAAATGATTTTATCCTTTGCAAATGTTAACCATGTGAAACACATTTTCAGTGAAGTATGCATTACAGGGTCTGATACTTTCCTGCACTTAGTCTTATGTCTTCATTTTATTGATACTAGGATAGAAAGTTTTGGAATCATAAAATAGATTCAGATTTTAGCTGCATACAGTCTAGTACAGGTGAATTTTTATTCTGAAACATCCGCATTGGTTATTTTTTAAAGAGTTGCGCTCTACCTGAAAAGAAAATTGGATTTGAGACCTGGGTGGTGCAGTGAAGTATTTTAGGCCCAGGTCTGTGTACACATTTTATAGAAGAGTGAAGTCTTCTGAGATGTTTTGGTTGCCTTTTCATTTCAACTGTATTTTGAATTTGTCAGATCACATATATTGTATTACTGTGCTCTGTGGTATTGTTTATAAAACCTCTTGCCTGTGCGCAAAAGTTGCTAAAAAGAAACGCAAGTAATGCCTCTCCATTACTAGCATGCTGTGCTTCAGGGACTATTTCCACTGCTGTGTGCTTTAGTGTCTGTAAAAATCCCGTCCCCTCTTCTGGTAACTGGAAAAGCATGCTAAAAATCGTCTTATATTTTCACCCCATAAATGCAGAATCAGTAATTCCTTGGCTTAAAGGTGTTACATAGTCAACATTATTGGTGATAAGTGTCAAGCTTGGTATCTATCATAACCATCTTTTTTAAAAGAAATTAAGTTCTTGAAAATTTAGCCAAATCCCGTTTTATGGGAATGCTCCTTAGAATTAATTTTGTTCAGCCCCTTTGTTTTGTAGTTGAGAAATCTGAGGACTTACGAAGGTTAAGAGAACTTTCCCTGTGTCTCACAGGTAGAGGCAGAGCTGGAACTAGAAATCTGGCCTGTGGGCTCTAACTCAGTGTCTTTTCTGGTAACTAGAAAAAAACTGTCATAATTTGAGAGATGGCTGAATTAATGAATATAAGATGCTGTTTATAATAAGCATATGTGAAGTTTCCTATCGTAAGACTACAGGCTTACTGTTGAATACAGTTTGGTTATAGTGTTTAGGCTAGACATGCCTCTCACATTGATAATAAATAAACATTATAAAATGCAATGTATTTTTAGGTAAATATAATTTTTATAAAATGCATTATGCCATGGTTGGTTTTGAGATAGACTGTAGTCTGGGTAGCATCTGTATGTGGGCTTAACTGTTCTTCATAACAGGAGATGCTCTGATTGTATAGGTGAGACTCTGTTTCTGTTATTTTTAATCACTTTATGAAATGTGATCAGATTATTTTATTACCAACAGTTACAGTTTGAAAGTCCAACTGTATTTATTGACTGATAATATAGAGAATAAATTGTCTTCATTCAAAAAAAAATACACAGTTAAGATCACGTCATACATTATTTTAATAAACACACATTGCTGTGTTCAAATATACAGATCTCAAATTGTAACATGAAAACACAAAATGCAGCAAAGTGGCTTTTTATAAGTTTTCTTAACTGAGACAGATCTTCTGGTGACTTCTGGTGAATCTAGACATCTATAATTATTAATACATAATAAGCAAGAGAAAACAGATTTTCCAATCTCATGATCAGTAAATTCCTCTGAAAATGAATGAAGGTATCAGTCATCAAAAGGGGAAACAGTTGGTAAGTTCGATGGTCCTGCCCACACTGTATAATGTAAGACACTCGGTAAGAGTTATGAGAAACTATAGTTAAGTGTTAGAAGGCAATATAGCTTTCTCAGACTTCTCCCAGTGATTATATATCTGAGATATAAACATCTTCAAAAGTAAAATAGTTCAGTATGATTACATTTGTTCCACAATGACACTTTGCCAATGTATTAATCTGAAATATATTTTGAACTGGAATGATTTATAAGGAAATAAATAAGAAATCTTAAAAAGAAACCATTAGTTCCAAGTTAAATTATGTTAAAGGTCTACAGAAAAAAATAACTGTGGGCAGGAAACGCTGGCTACATGCCCATTTTTATTTCAAAGAGTAAGTTGCACAAATAGTCATCATTGTCCTACACAACAAAAAATCCCCAAATTAATCTCGCAGACCTAAATTAGCTGAACATAGAGAAACAAAGTCAAAGCCAGTATTATCATTTGCACATTTCAAACTACATCTTTAAAAAAAACTCCTGCATCTGCTGCTGTGCAGAACTAATCATTACTTTTCAGCAAGAAAACGAAAAATCATTATACAGCTTTTTTTTTCTAGAAAGACGTACAGATAACATAATTTGTTACTTGTTAAATCCCACAAAAGCTACAAAGGAGCTGAGAGTTGATGGCACTTAAGGACAGTAAAAGTCTGCCCTTTTAATACTTTTAATGCCCACTGATGGGCTTTGTGTCAGTATTTTTTTTAATGTTTTCATTACAATAAAATGGCAAGGAAATACAGTATTATATCATATCCCCGTATAGAGACACTATATTTGTATAAATGAATCACTAGTAAAAGAGTTATTTCTTGTTTCAAATGAAGTTTTATCTAGGTATCAATTAGGCTGTAATCTAAATGATGGTGCCTATTTTCAACTCTCAAAATAAACAGAAAGAGCTCATGTATCAAGATTAATTTTCTTTGGCCGCAATGGATACCATTTTCTCTGGGGGCAGTCTTTATTTTGCTTTCTTTTCAGTACCAAGTCAGAGGTTTTCCTGGAAGCAGTCTCTGTTGGTGTAGTTTCCATCTGCGTTATAAAGTTCTCAGGTTTAGCATCTGGTTTCCTATAACAACTGGAAAAGACTTCCTGGTGAATCCTCTGGAGGTGGATAACAGGCTGCATCCTGAGAACTTGTGAAAGTCCCTCTCCTTGTTCAATTAATGCAGGCAAGGACTTCAAACAAACAAATAGTAACATTCAACATTAATCTCAAGTTGAAACACAAACACACAGAGATGGACACAATACTCCAAATTTCTTTCTTTTGAGAGGGAATCTTGCTTGTTGCGCAGGCTTGAGGGCAGTGGCACGATCTCAGCTCACTGTAACCTCCACCTCCTGGGTTCAAGTGATTCATCTGCCTTGGCCTCCCAAGTAGCTGGGACTACAGGTGCACACCACCATGCCCAGGTTATTTTTCTATTTTTAGCAGAGGCACACTTTCACCATGTTGGCTAGGCTGGTCTTGAATTCCTGATCTCAGGTGATCTGACTGCCTCGGCCTCCCAAACTGATGGGATTATAGGCATGAGCCACCGTGCCCTTGCCAATCCAGGCTTTAAATACTGGATTGGTTATTTACATGGGCAACTTGCTAAGTCTCTCTGTGCCTCAGCTTCCTCATCTATAAAAGAAATAACAGTATCTGTCTCATAGGATATAAGGATTACATAAGGCAATACATGTAAAGCAGCTGGATGGTGCCCATACCAATTACTCAATACGTTTTAGCTGGTTTTATTATCCAGAATTGTTTGGTGAACTGCTAATATCCAGAACACAAAAATATAATCAACCTTTAAAGAAGCCAGGTATATACCTGGCACACAGTGAGTACCTGGTAAGTGGTAGCTATTCTGAATGTTATTGTTGCTTAATAAATTCATTGGAGATTTATTTAAAACACTGCTGAGAATTCCTGCTACTGCAGACTAAAACACATATGAATGTTGAACACAGATACTTAGCCACACATTTTGCTCATTTTATGATTTTTTAGCATAATGCTTTTACCTTCATGGCTTCACTGATCTCCTTTGCTACTGTTTCCCCTCTGCATTTCAAATCTTCCATATGAGAGGCTGCAAAAAAATTGCCAAACAGTATTTTAGGTTTTTATCTAATAGCAAATCATAAAAGGTACATAGATGCCATCTGGACAAAATCTACTAGGACGATTCACCTCAGCTTAATCTTTCTCGGAATACTTTGTAATCTATTAAAACAAGTATCCTATTAAATTTATCTAAACAAATAAAAAGGCTGTGAGACCATTATAATAATAGAGTAAAACTAAAAGCTACAAGCATAAGATAGTAGATGAAATTCTACTATGAGTAGTTAGAACACTCCCTAAAAGCGAGTTCAATGTTCATTGTATGTATTACCTACCACTACGTTGAACATCTTTGAGCAATATCATCACATTTTTAAATAAATATAACTCCGTACTTTTTATATTACTCTGAATTTTATAAAAGTAACATATGTGATCTTAGAATATACAATCACATTACATTGAGGCCATGCCTAGATGAAATTAATCTGAAAGAGATTATCAGTAATATTACTTTATCTTGTCTTATTTTCTAATAGATATTTTCTTCTTCCAATCTTTGTTATAAAATGTTTACAGCTACTCCATAAGAGAACTGCATATTCAATAATACAGAAGGATAAAAATCTTACTAAAACTCCAAACAAAACTGAAAATAAAAAAAACCATTCTATTACGAAATGCTCTACGAATTAGTTCTTGGAAGCGTAGTTGTGATAAGAAATTTCTTAGGGTCAAAGCAAGTATATACCTAAGTTAGGAGGGCCACAGTTTTACCGGCCAGAAGAGATTGGTCAACAAGCCAGGCAAAACATTTCTTTCATAGCTGCTATTCTTTTTTTATGACTCGTCTTAGGTTTATCTTTAAAAAGTGAGAACGCATTTAGAAAAATGGAAATGAACCACAGAAACAGCTTACTGAAAGAGGGCACTCAAAGAAGGAGACAGACAATGGCAACAGGATAATCTCAGCAAAAGGGTTAACTTTTTTGGGGGGTATCAGAGATTTCTTTGGCAATTTGGTGAAACCTACGAACACCTTCTCAGAAAAATTTCTTAATGTACTTGTTTTTTAAGTTGAGGTATAATTTATGTACATGAAATGTACAGACAGTTCAGCATTCAATTGACAAGTATACAGCAAGACACGGGCCATTTTCATCACCACAGAAACCGCTTTTGTGCCCCTTTCCCAATCTTCTCCATAAGAAGCAACCATTTCTCTGATTTCTATCACTATACATTAGTTTTGCTTATTCTAGAATTTCAGAATGTTTAAAAATAAAATTTTACATGTAATTAGAAAATTGTGATAGCTAATATACGTGCTCCTTTACTGAAGATCTAAATAACAAAATTGATGTCATAATGATTACCATAATATAAAAACAATGAGCGGAAACAACTGTGTGAGGTACCTGCGACAACAGAAAATGAAAATATCTGTGGCTTTAAGGAGCAGAAAGAAAATGATAACATCAACCACTATTATCTACATTCAAAATGGAAGGAAATGCTAAATTTCAGTTTGAGGCTAGCAAAATAAAAATGTACTTTAGCCCCTATACAATTTCACAGTTCCCCTATATCCTAAGGCCTCTTGCCTTGGAATAATATGATAATTTCTATTCTTTATGATTTGAGCAGATTTCCCAAAAGTACTCAGGGTCATGACAACTGTTAAATTTTCTCTGTGGTATGGCAAATAAATAATTCATCCTTTGGTCCTCTTGTGGCAATATGGATTCTAGCCACACTTACTCTCTCTTCAAGCTTGCACACCTGTGTAGGAGCTAGCTGTTCATCTAATGAACATTTACCGTGTATCTTCCATGGGCTAGGCTTATGATATGGTTTGGATCTCTGTCCCACCCAAATCTCAGGTCAAATTGTAATCCCCAATGTTAGAGCTGGGGCCTGGTGGGAGATGACTGGATCATGGGCGGATGTCCCCCTTGGTACTGTGTTATGATAGTGAGTTCTCATGAAATCTGGTTGTTTAAAAGTATGTGGCACCTCACCCCTACCCCAGCTTCCTCTTCTTGTTCCAGCCATGTGAGGTGCTAGCTCTGCCTTTGCATTCTGCCATGACTATAAGTTTCCTGAGGACTCCCAAGAAGCTGAGCAGATGCCAGTATCATGCTTCCTGTACAGCCTGCAGAACCATGAGCCAATTAAACCTCTTTTCTTTATAAATTACTCAGTCTCAGATAGTTCTTTATAGCAGTGTGAGAACAGACTAACACAGCTGAGCAGTAGGTACTTATAAGTAAAAATGATCCCTGCCCCTCAAGGAACATTCAGTTTAGAAGAGAGAAACACACAGGAAGTTCTTCAAAATTAGCTCAAACTTTTCCTGGGTAGTCTCATGTTTCCATGATATTGGGATCATATACCTCACCTCCTGCCTGAATAGACCCTGCCTTGCTACAGATTCCCACTGGGCTCTGCACAGTTCTAGAGCAATGCCTGGAAGACATCATTGCACTAATGTGTTTAGAATACATTTCTCAACCCTATCAGATCTGACCCAACACCACCCCCAGCTTCAGAACATATTTTGTAAAGATCCCATTACTATTCTAAAGCAAAATTCATAGGTTATATTTCTATACATATAGAGATATAAGGGAGAAATAATATTCATCAAAATATGTATTTAATATGTTTAAATATGCTCAGACCCAACTGTACAAGAAGACATAATGAAGTACTCTCAGACTTGTGCCTACTTATAATGAGTAAGCTTGGACGTAAGAAACTTTACACCTTTTGCATGTTGTTGCAATAAAAGTAAAAAAGAAAAAAAAAAGAAAATTTACATTTGAGGCCATTCTATACAGAAAACAGAAGATCAGAGGTATGGATGGAACTTGAATAAAACTTAATGTTACATAAGAAATAACTGATTAGATTTGAATCTGATAAGAGGAAGAAAAACGGAAATAGAGATAACATACCAAGACAAAGTATTGGCTGTTGAAATGGTAAAAATTAGGAAGTACATTATTTCTACAAATGAGATGGCCTTATTAAAAATGTAGTGTCAAAATCATCCCCTCTAACATGAAGAAGTGTAAGATTAAAGTCTAACAGAAAACATATCTTCTGCTTCAAAATTCCCATAATGTAGACTATAGTCAATATATACTTTAACTTAAAAAGACTTCAGAGATCATCTATCGGAAGGTGATGAGAAAGAGAGGACGGATTAGGCAAAAATATGGAAACAAGAAGCTACGGAGACGGTATGTGGGGACCTCTAGTTAATATGAGTAACACAAGACAGGCAATTCAAAACTGTAATTAGAATACTTTAAACATTTTAAATCTTCACATAATTTCTTATCATTGTGGTATAAAAATATAATTTTTCATATTTCATTTGATAATAGGAAATATACTTAAACCACTTGTGCTTAAAAAAATGAGATCCCTATATATTTTGTGTGCTTCTGTTAATTCAGTAACCTCTGGTTCTAGTTCTAGGAAAAGGACTCTCAAATTTTGTTACGTAGTTTCCATCAGCTTTGCTGCTTTTGCAATAACTAAATATTTCATAATTAAAATCTCTTTTAATTAAAATTGTTGAAAATGCTCTAAGCAACTCAATGTTCTTAGGAAAAAAACGGTGTGAAAGTCTCAGCTGAATCTAAAACATTTACTGATTAGATAAATGTAGCCCTAGCTGCAAAGATTTTTGTCCAGTCTGTTTGCTTTTTTAGCTCAATTTTCCCTTCCTCCACATGTTCATTAACGGTTCCACGTCTACTTCAAATTCATTTGCTTCTTGCTCTTCAATATCTAGTACATATAATCTTGGAATATAACCACCCTATCTTTTAAAAATAGAATGCATACGAGTAACATCATCAAAAATGGTGGCATAGGAGATTCTGAAAGCCCATCCCGCCACAGAAAAAAGCTGGCGAAATCTGTCACAATCAACTTTATCAAAAATCTGGAATACAGTCAAAGGTTTTCACCCATCAAAAGAATGCTTAATCATGGCAAGAGCAAGTCAAATCTGGTAGAAAAACCTGGTGTATTTTAACTTACCCTTGGATCTGAAGATGCTATGAAAATTTCTGAAATGACAACAAAGGATTTAAAATAGTACGTAAACTTAGTTGATAAAGTAGTGGCAGGGCCTGAGAAGATGTGAAAGTTCTACTGGGGGTAAAATGCTATCAAATGGCATCACATCCTACAGAGAACCACTTCATGAAGGGAAGGGTCAACTGATGTGGCAAACTTCATTGTTGTCTTATAAGAAACTGCTCAGATGAACTACACAACTTTATGAATGTGCTGCCAGGGAATTATACACTTTAAAATGGTTAAAATGGTACATTTTATGCGTACTTTGCCACTGCCACAACAAAAAAATAGCATCCATATATGTGGTAGTCAGCCTTCAAGATGGTCCCTGTTGCCAAGTTTGGTGGCCCAAGCATGTAGTCCCAACACTTTGGGAGGCTGAACTGGGTAGATCACTTAAGCCAAAAGTTCGAGACCAGCCTGGCCAACATGGCAAAACTCCATCTCTACTGAAAACACAAAAATTAGCCAGGCATGGTGGTGCACACCTGTAGTCCCAGCTACAAGGGAGGCTGAGGCTGGAACAAGAATCACTGGAACCCAAGAGGCAGAGGTTGCAGTGCGCTGAGATCACACCACTGCACTCCAGCCTGGGCAACTGAGCCAAAAAAGGAAAAAAAAAAAGGTGGCTCCCCAATGATCTCTGCCTTGTGCAGGGTATTCATGCCTCCTTGTGCAATCCTCTCCCACAGTGTAATAGGTCAGCCTGCATGACCAGTAACTAACAGCTCAAGTAATAGCAAATCACTTCCAAGATTAGGTTATAAAAAAGACTACAACTTCTGTCTTGGGTATTCATTCATTCATTCTCTATGCCTTTCAGATCATTCATCCTGCAAGAAGTAGGTGGACATGTTACAAGAAGCTCATGGAGAGAGGCCCACGTTGTAAACAACTAAAGTCTCTAACAACCAGCCAGGAATG